CCTGCCTAGGCAGGGGGTTGGACTAGAAGACCTCAAAGATCCCTTCCAACTCTGCTATTTTATTATTGTATAAAATATATGTGCTGGTTTCCAAGCACCTGAATATTGATTACTGTACCTGACCATAAGGATGCTGCACTGATTTTAAGTGCAAGGACTGGTTATAAGTCAATTTTTTCAATGCCGTTTTAACATCACACATTAAATTAATGGTTATAAGTCAAAGACTACCTGTAATGAAGAAAAAAGAAATAACCTGGTCAGGTTGTTTGGCCAGGTTGCAGCTGATACAAGGAGATAGGCATATCCAATATGAGATGCTGTGTAGAACTAACACAAATGTTTATAGCTTTTCCTCCTCCACTTAGTCTTTCAATATATTTTCTACTTTCTCCTCCTCTATGATCTTTCTCTCGATGAATCAGCACTGTTTTCTTCCCTTTCTTGTTTTCCAGGAATCCCTTAATAGGATGCCATCCCCATGTGGCACATTCTATAAGATCAAGATACCAAGGAAAATTAGCTTGTTCTGCAATGCTCAAAAGCTTAACTAATTTTTTCTTTGTGACCTTTTTCCTGTTGTCAGCTACAATTTCTTAAATATTCTGCATCAATATAATTTAGCGGCTTCACTAAAATAGAATTCTTTATTGGCCAGGTGTGATTGGACACACAAGGAATTTGTCTTTGGTGCATAGGCTCTCTGTGCTGTCCCAACAGTATATAGCTAATATAGGAATTAAAAGCTGTCTCCTTTAAGAAACTACCTCATGGGAAACGTAACTACCTTATGGGAAATGTAGTCCCATAACATGTGACCACATCTGTGCTCCGTGATTGGGCAGTGAGGTACTGTGCCCGGGAAATTGATATATTACTGGGCATTCACTGAATTGCCTTCGGTTCTACCAGAAGCAGCTTTGCACCAGCAGCATGGGTTAGAGAAACTAATGCCTTTTTACACTACGTGATGGGACAGATCATGGAAAGTCAGAAGACTCTTAACACTGAACTGTAAGTTTTGCTATTAAGCATGCCTGACAATAAACGTGATCTGAAAGATATTCCTAAGCGTGGAGTTAATTGGCTGCCCGAGCAGAACCTCATTGCCAGGGGCAGAACACTCTCAATGTACATAAAAAGGCAAGGTACATAATAACCATGAGGTGCAACACTTAATGATAGTCATAGGGTACAAATAAGCAATCAGGAAACAATCAATATAAATATAAATAGTAAGGATATAGGCAACTAGATATTGCTTCTTGAGTGGAACAGATTTTAGCAATTAAATGGATTGGAAGCAGCATAGTTCCTTCTTTACATAAGTTACAGTATTGTTATGTTATTTCCAGAATAAGCGCAGGGGAGAGGTGGGTCAGTTAATTAATCCAGTCAACAGAACATACAAGGAATATGTACTGCTTATGACTGGAGACTGGAACGCCAAAGCTGGAAAGATTAAACAGATAAATATAGTTGTATTACCACATTTGTAGGAAAATGAAATGAAGCAGTTTCTTCATAGAAAACATTATCATCAAACAGCCAGACATGGAAATGGGAATGCCAGAGGTTCAAACTGGTTGTAGAAAAACCTGTGAACACAATATGTTATTGCTAAACAAAAGACATGAGTTGGAAAATTGAGAAAGCCAATGAACACCAAAAATAAATCACTATATTCTTCATTGATAATAGAAAGATTGAGCTGATCTTGTTAAGTTGTTGACAGTGCTCAGAAAAATCTGAATCCTAGAACATCTGGTTCTTATGAGAAATTTATGGTATATATAACTTTGGAAGTCACTATATAGACAAAATAGTGAAATAGGCTGACTCCAGGTTGGTAAAGGAATGTCACGAGGATGTACATGCTCACCATATATTCAGCCTATATGCAGAATATATATTAAGAGAAGCTGACTGGAAGATCCAACAGTTTTGGATCTTGGGAGTGTGGTTTTAAAACTGGAGGAAGAAACATCAAAACCTGCACTATGATAATGACACTAACCCAATAGCTAAAAATGCAAAGAGTCTGCAAGCTTTAGTAATAAAAATCAAGTAACATAGTGAAAAAAGGGACTAAAAATATAAGCTGTTTTGAATAACACTTTAATTGTTTTAGCTAGGTTCTTTAAAAAGGTTTAAAGGTTCTTTAAAAATATTATTTGTTAATAATATTACATAAGATTTTCTGGTAGTAACCTGAACCAGCAAATATTGATTTGTATGCTTCATGTTTTATACTAAAGATAGGTTTCAATTATAAATGTCTAAAAATAAATACAAGTAACATAAAATAAGAAAGGATTGGAGTTCTGTCTGGGATTTCTGATTTTCACAATGGGATATATTGTGATCAAATGCTAAATGCAATTCAGAAAAGCTTTGATATAGGATCCAGACTTTTTTTCTTTTAATGAAGTTTTTCCAATTCTCAGAGACTGCCTAGACAAGTTCCTGCAGTTCTACTAGGAAGATTTTTCAGAAGTGATTAGCCATTTCTTCCTTCATAGGGCTAAGAAAAAGTGAGTGGCCCAAGATTACCCAGGTGATTTGTACCAGTATGGGATCATAGCTCACAATCTCCCTGTTTCTAGTCTGATGTCTTAATCACTACACCAAAATGGCTTATTACAAAGTTAATACTTTCTATAATTTTTCAAGTAACTTTAGGAGAAAAACATTAAATGGATGAATGCAGGCTACTTTTATTAATTATGGTAAATTCTGTTCGGCTGTACTTTGTCATTCTGGACATGTAATCAATCTGTTCCTCTTTCCTTATTCCACCCTTAAGTATAATATTTTTTTTAAGTATAAATCCTTATTACGGTCAAAGACCAGCAATACATATTACTTTTTACCCTATGTTAAAAGCACTGACATTAAAATATAATTTAAAATTATTGATGTTAAAAGTGGATAATAAAATACGTGTTCTCAAATTGTTCGGGTCACTCCCTGGTTTGAGGCATGCCTGTCTCAATTCTTAATTGGGCATTAGGAGTTATTTTGGGTGCAGCTAAGACAGCTCGCAGGAATTTGGTTTGTATGGTTTCTAGCAAGTCTTTCTTTGCAAGGATTCCTGTTGGTGCCCCATATAGAATTTGTGCCAATGCTGTGGCCTCAAAAAGTTTTAAGACAGCAGGTACTAACTGACTTCCACCTGTGTAAAATAAATGTTTAATTGTGTTTGAGAACCTATTGGCTGCACTGCACAGCACTGGCACAATCTTTACTACTCAGTGCTTTAATTACTCCCTTTCCTTTCGTAACTTTCAAATCAGTTTAAGTGTGTAGGAATAACTTTGGAAGACAAGAACAACTGCAACCAAGAGGACAGTCTGAAAAAACGAAATTTGAACCAGAGGGAGGACAGATACAGAAAGGATCTCAGAAAGGACCCTTCCTAGTTTTCGGGAGAATAAAAGCGGTACTTTCACATTTGCAAGATACTTTTGAACTAACTTTACATAAAGATAGGGCGAGTACTCATGGGTATACTTTTTGCCTGGATACCAGGTATGGCTAATGAGTAACTGCTCCCTCACCGCATCCTTCTAAGTCAATCTAGCGCCGTGTTTCTCCCGCGAAGGTTTGCTCTTGCAGTTTAAGCAGGTGGGGAGAAAATATAAGACACTACTACAGTACCTTCATTCACCATGAGCCAGAATGCCATAAAAGGACGGCAAAGACGACTAAAGTGGGGGAAAGCGCTGCCTCTGCTCTCGCTCCCACGGAGCCCCGCGTTGGATGGCACGGGGCCGTCAGCGGCGGATCCTCCTCCTCCTCCGTAGCGGGAGAGGAGCACAGAGGATCAGTGACAGACAGCATTTCTCAGCTTTTGACAACTTTGAAAGTCTATGGACTTCAACTCCCAAGATTCCCCAGCCAGCGTCCCCATAGCTGGCTGGGGAATTCTGGGAATTGAAGTCTGCCTATCTTCAATTTGTTATAAGCTTGGAGGAACCGCTACCCGAAGTCGTTGCCCCAGGAGGCGGAAGACCCGGTGCACGTGCTCCTTGGCTGCCGAGTTGAAAAGGCGACGAGTAGGAGGGGAAAACAGGGGAGGGGCCTGCGCCGCCGAAAGAGGCGGTGGGATGCTGAGCAGGAGCGACCCAAACGGGCGGTAGTGACGCCCTTTCAGCGGCAGGCCGTTCATCTCGCCTTTCCGCCGACGGCAGCAGCAGCAGCAGCAGCAGCATTAACAACTGCTCTTCTCCTTCCCTCCTGGGAGCCGAAGCGCTGCCCGTGTGCGCCCGCCCGACCCGCTTCTTCGCGCACTGTTGTCATGGAGGAGCCAAGATGGCGGCCCTGGCCTACAGCTTGGGCAAGCGGGAAATCAACCACTACTTCAGCGTGAAGAGCGCAAAAGCCCTGGCGCTGGCCGCTGTTGTCCTGCTCACTGCCTGCTACGCCGTCTCCCGTCGGTATCAAGGTGAGTAAAAAAAAAAACCGGTGGGGGGAGATCATGTCCGCAGGTGGGGACTGGCTAAGGAGAGGGACATCACCGCGAAAGGTCCGCGGACTGCCGCTTCGTCTCCGTAGGGAAGAGCGTGTCACAGGCTTCCACGGATCCAAGGGATGGTCATTTGGGAGCGGGGCCTTTTGAGATCCTCAGCCGGCTTGGTCGCGAGGGTTTTCTCCTCCCAGGTAACATAGAAGGACCTGCCAGGTAACTGAGGAGTCGGCTAGCATCTGCCCCAGAGAGCATCCTGCTCCCTCTGGCCTCTTTTCCATTACGTTGGGACGGAGACGCGGTCATATTTCTCTGCTTGGTTCCTTTCCCTCATAGACAGGTGCCTTTTCACCTGTTCAGTTAAAGCAGCAACCCCTAGTTAAGCCAAGCACTTCCTCATTTGTTACCCATGCAGGAGGTGCAACGGATTCGGAGTTATCTAAAGAAATTCCTTGCCCTGGGGGGGTAGGTCTAATTAGCTCTGCTCATTATAAACAATGGTAGGAAATGGGAGTGACGGTATTAATTATGCATTTTGACAGCCTTGCAGGAAGTGGCTTGACAAGCAAAGTAGATTCTGAAAGATAAGCGTGCAATGATATATTTTGAAGAATAGAGGTTTGAATCACCTTCATGGTGCTTTGTTTTCTAGCTCCAGTGCAAATTGGTATGGTAAATACAACTATTTAGCCTGCCATTTTAAACAACTGGTAACTATGATGACAAAATAAGGGCAAGGAAACTAGCAGGACCAGTGTAATGACCAGGGAGGCAGCATCTGATTCAGCTATAGTCCAACTCCATGTTCTTCATTCTGTTGATTACTACTTGCTTTGCTTGATCAAAGCCTAGGGACATTAAGAATACCGGTGAGAGCCCATAAGAGCCCAGCTTGTGATCAATTGCCTATTTCCAGGGAGAGGGGAAGTTGTCAGTCAACACTAGTGCAACAGTCCCTCTGGAAAGAAATGCATTTTAAGCCAATGAATGATCATCATCTTCCAGGCTCTTACCTGAATTTGAGGCATGCCTGTCTCAATTCTTAACTGGGCATTTGGAGTTCCTTTAGGTGCAGCTAAGATGGTTCTCAGGAATTTGTATGTATGGTTTCTAGCAAGTCTTTCTTTGCAAGGATTCCTGTTTATGCCCCATACAGAATTTGTGCCAATGTTTTGGCCTCAAAAAGTTTTAAGGCAGCAGGTACTAACTGACCTCTGCATGTGTAAAATAAATGTTTAATTGTGATTGAGGACCTATTGGCTGCTTGCAATGTGTGATCCAGGTGTGCCTTCCATGTCCCTTGCGAGTGGAAAACCACCCCAAGGTATCTAAATGTTCTAACCTGTTCCAAACTATGTCCTTCTATTTTCCAGGGTATTGGCTAGGTCTTTTAGCAAAAACTAAATTTTTTGATTTATCAAAGTTAAGGACCAGCTTGTTTTGCCTCCATAGCCGAGTGTTGCCCTAATTTCTCTCTTCAGTCCTACAGGGGTTTGTGAAATAATAGTAGCAGCATATAAGAGAATTGGAACTTTGCGTTGTACTAGGTTAGGGAGATGGAAATCAGGGTTCTGTAGGAGATCAATCAGGGGATTAATATAGAAGTTAAAGAGGGAGGGGGACAGGATGCAACCCTGCTCTACCCCTTTTTGTACCCTTACTGGGCCGGTTAAACTCCCTTGGGAGATTGCACCTCACTTTCAAAGTGGAATTGGCATACAATTTTTGTATGAGGAAGAGGAGGCATTTATCAATAGTGGTGAATTTTAATTTCTCTCAGAGGGTGATCCTGGATATTGAATCAAAGGCCTGCTTAAAATCAAGGAAGGACACAAAAAGGGAGGATTTTTTTTTAATATGTGTATTTTTGTACTAAATAGTGGAATATCAAGATATGATCCACCGTAGATTTTCCCTCTCTAAAACCAGCTTGTTCATCTTTGATTATTCCCCCTGAAATTAGCCAATCCTGAACTTTATAGTTAGGTGCTTGGCATACAATTTACTAATAACGCTCAGAAAACTAATGGGTCTATAATTGCCTGGGTCATTTCTATTACCTTTTTTTATAAATAGGTATGATAATTGCTACTCCCCAATCTCTTGGCATATGGCCTGTTTTATCTATAAATGTAAACAGAGATGCTAAAAGTAGAGCCAACAACTGGTGTTCTTTTTTATTATTTCTGGCAGGACATTATCATTATTTTTATTATTTCTGGCAGGACATTATGCCTTATTAGCTTTTAGGACTCTGATCAACCAGGAATCTCTCTTCTAGTGTAACAGGGGGCCAGTAAGGAGTTTGGTCAAAACTAGTTTGGCTCTCATTGTTTACATAGTCAGGATCTGTATAAAGCTCCCTAAAATATTCTTCCCAGGTATGAATCAGAACCTGATTAATTGGGGGTAGGGGAGGTTTCTCCAATCCTCTGGTGATGTACCAAAAAAGGGATGTGTTTTTTGTTCTGACTGCCGTAATTAGTCTATGCCAAAACTCCTTCAGAGCTGTACTTTTCTTTTCTTTTCTTTTAGAAAGTTCTTATATTGTGTTTTCAGCCGCTTTAAGCCGTGAGTGTGATCCTCAAAGGAGGCATTTTTACTTTTCTTGTACTCTATATTATATAACCTTTTTAGTTGCACGCAATCTGTATCAAACTATTTTTTATTCTTTGAAACCGGGCTTTTGGAGTGAGCTAGTGTTCTGTTAATGAGAACTCAATTCACATTTAAAATTAAAGTTTCAAACCCCTCTAAGTAAGATCCTCTGAACATATTCCCTAGTAGAGATGTATGTAGCTCTATGGTTTCTGGAACTAACATCCGTTTGGTAACTTCCTTAGCATCTTTCTCATTCCATTTAATTTTTACCTGGGTATTTTGACTCTCTAACCTGGGTAGGTAGGTTGTGCTTGCCCTTAGACATTTCTGGTGTAATGTAGGGTAAGGAGTATTGCATTATGATGGCTTTCCAGTCGGGAGTCTACCTCCATCTCTGTAAGAACTTCAGGAGGTCATATGATATTACCCAGTAATCAACTGTGGATTTTCTTCCTGTTCTCCAATAAGTATATTCTGCTGGATAGTCACCCCACGTGGACCCATTAAGGATACAAAGATCCAAATGTACAGTCATTTGTCTTACACACAAACCTGCCCGATTTGCTTTAGGGTCTTTAAATTGTCTGGAATGCAGGGATTCTCCTGTTACATTTTTATCATAGTGGATCTTAAATTGATTAAATAATGATTGATCATTTGATCCCATTCTACCGTTTAAGTCCCCCCCCCCACCCTATAATTATTGCTGCTTTGGGGTATTTGTCTGAGCAGCCAAGAATAAAATATTCTATGCTGTTCCAAATCTTGTTGATCACATTATTCTTATTAAGTGGAGGAATATAGATATTAAAAAGCAAAATATCTACCTGTTTAAATAAGAGTGATGTAGTAACAGTGGCTGGAAAGGTGGCAATGATACACATTTAAATTGCAAGGATGTATTAACTAATATCACAATACCTCCTTTAGCTCTTCCCCCCCCTCCCCTCACCTTGCTCGGGACAGCAGGGATTGAATTAACCCAATAACCATCTAACTGAATTTCTGTGGAGGCCCAGGTTTCCTCTAAGAAGAGGATTTCAAATTGTGATAGATAGTAAAAAAAGATTTGGTCTTTTGATGGAACAGACCAACCCTCTATATTCCAGATTATAAGGGAAAGTCTTTCAGGAAATTTGATTTATACAAAGGGAAGTTGTCTGGTTGTTGCCATGGATTGAGGTGTCATCACACACATAATTGGTCTTCTTTGAAAGTAGGGAGGTCCCATCTAAGTCCTGTGTAGACTCTTGAAGAACTTGTTCAGGGTAAGAGATTTTAGCACCAGCTAATAGAACTTGCCATTCCGATGCCTCTTCTCTGGGTGTAGGACAAGGCGTTATTAGGTCATATTTCATTCTTTAAGATGGTGGCTCTGACATGGGTCATCTCTCAGTTTCTTGGTTTGGTGCTGAAGGTGTCATGCGATATTCACACTGGGATGAAAGTATCTCCATCTCTACTGGGACCTCTAATGTCCCCTTTGGGTCTTGGCTTCTATTTTCCATGATCTTGTATTCATGCAATCCCTTGTCCTCTGGGGGAGAAGTGAGAGGCTCAATTATTGGGAAAACCAGATCTACAGGTATAAGCAGCTCTGCTGTGTGTGCTGTGACCAGTAAGGATTTCTTTAAACTTTCTAATTTGAATAATATATTGTCTTGTTCTTTCTTTGGGAGAGCGCCAAAAGCATTAATGAGACCAGCTTCTGTGCTGTTAAGTATCACTTCACCAGACACGGCTGGTTGACTCCCACTGTCTTTCCCTTTTCCAAGGTTGAAAATGAGGAGGAGGCAGCCACCTTGGGAGCTCCATGTTAACAATTGATAGAGTAATCCTTTCCTCACCAAAGAGACTGATGGGAAAGATTTGAAAGGAAGCTAAATGTGCCTTTATCTTGAATAGCATCTGTGGTATGGTGGGCTGTTTGAAAGACAGGACAATCCGCTTCCAATTTGGGGCTTCAGAGAGCCACTCCACAGCATGGAGATCAATCAGACCCCTGCGACAGTGAAGAAGCTGAATTATGGAAATTAGTATTGCACTTCTGGAATTCCGATTTCCATAATTAAAATTTTAAAGCAATCCATTGGGTTTGTAGTGAGCGATGTGATTGTAGTAATTGGGGGAGAGATGCTTTCTTCTTTATTAATACCTTTCCCTCTCATTGCCTTGTCTGGGGAGGGATTGTTTTTCTGAGAGGACTGCCAGTTTTTATCCGACTCTTTAACTGTTTCTCTGGCTCTTTGCTCTTTTTGGTCTTCCTTATCCTGCATATGGGAGTTAATCAAATCTGCTGCAAGAACTTTAGTGTGGGGGTGCCTGGGGCCCGATATTGTACTTAAGAAAAAAAGCTGTCTTTTTCAATGTCTCTACATCATGTTGGATGGCAAGTAATTGTTCGAATATTGAAACCACTGTTTGCACTGTGAGAAGGCATTGCTTTGCCATAAACTCCGTTGAACTTTCCCAAGGTAAACTCTCCGTACTTGAATTATCTGGTTGTTGTTCGCCTTTTGTTGTTGTTGTTGTTCGAATTTTGATCACATGCCCATGGGGATGCTGTTCATAAGTGTGAAAAATAGTCATGTCACTTTTTTGAGTGCTGTTGTAACTTTGAAGATCACTGAGTGAATTGTTGTAAATCAAGGACTACTTGTAATATTTAAACCATATAGCCAAATGCTATTTGAGGAAATGGAATGTAAAGGAGCAAGAGTGTCTTTGTTTCTCTGTGCATTCTGAATCATTATAATAGGAATTACTTCATTTTATGCATAGTGACAAATGGCTGCAGGATTTGCTACATTGTGAGGATAAGAAACTGTTGAAATAAAACTGTATGAAACACCTGTACTTATGAGAGTTTAAAAATTCTAGAAAAAGTTAATGTGCTTTCCTGTTCAGCATCAACAGGACCAAAAGGTAATCCTTGCTTAACAACCATTTGTTTAGCAACCATTCAAAATTACGATACTGCTGAATAAAATGGCTTATAAGCACTCCTCCTGCTTACAATAGTTGCATCCTCCTTGTGGACACATGACTGGGATTCAGTCACTGGCAACCTTTGTGCATTTAGAAGGTTGCAGTGTTATACGGCCACAATTTGCAACCTTCCCAGTCAGCTTCTGTCAAGCAGAGTAAATGAGAAAGGCAGCAGGAGATTGCAAACTGAAGTTATTTGATATCTCAATCATCACTGCTACTGCCATCATTAAGTGGGTGAGTTACAGGATATATTTTGCTTAGCAATTGCTTCCCTTATAGTTATAGTTTATGTCTGAAACTAAGAGAAAGGCTAGAAGTAAGGGAATGTTGGAAGAATTGTTTCTAAGATTTGAATGATAATAGTTATATGTTAAAAAGGAATTCAAATATCAGTTTTGGCATCCAATAAAATAAAATCAGAAATACTTGGTGAATGTTGGCAATCAAACTCCATATGTTAATTGTATAATTGGAAAAGATTTGGACAACTTATTTAATATATTCAGAGCTTGTCCTTCTGCCTATCATTTGTAAGAACGCCATTGTTTTTTTTGTACAGAGAAAAGCTAATAACAGTGAGTCAAAAATTAAAGGGCATTAGGTGCTTGGCAGAAATTGCTTGGAAAGGTAATTGGCAGAAATTGATGAAAGGAGATAAATACATATTTTCATTCTTCAGCAGCTGAAAACAATTACATTCGGTTGCCATCATGTTAATGCATCCCTAACCCACACATATTCCTGAGCCCTTGTAACAGTGTTTGAGCCTTTATTTCATCAAGATTCACAATCGGATGGTTAATGAATACATACTGAGTTTGAACATTTACAGCTGCTGCTACAAATCCAGATTATTGACTTGTACTTTCTTTCCGGATGTGGAAACTTAGTCACAGATTTCTTCTGATGAACTAATCTGATTTCAAAGTTCCACATCTAATTTCTTATTTTTAACTTGTAATTTTAAAATACTTTCTAAATGTTTTAGATTAGTATATTTATTTGGTGCATTTTAATCCATTCTTTAAGTAAAAAAACCTGATGTATAAAACAAATAAAGACAACTTATTTTGATCCTTGGATGCTCACAATCTGAAAAACACCACATGGAACAAGGTTTCAGGAGAAAGGAATAAAGAAAATCAAAGCCAGATATTTTGAAAAAAGCAATTTAGGGATAATTTGGGTCCTAAATTTATATAACAAAATAATTTCAGTATGCCTAGTTAGAGAAGCCTGTGTAAGAAACCTTGGAGGGAAGTTCTCAGCCATCAAGAAATTGAAAGTTTTCAATGAAATAATGTGTACGAGATAAGCAGGATAACACTGATGCATGTTCCCCTTCTTCCCTTCAGCAGCTTCCAGTGTGGCTCACCAATCTGCCTGTCCCCCAATTTCTCAGCATCCTCTCTTTCCTTACCTTCTGCCACATCAAAGTGCCAAGTAGGATGGTTTTTTGTAGAATCAGAATGTTCAAGTCTGATAAATTTAAAATTTCCAAATAGCGAGATAGCCCTTTGGGTATTGCTCCAAGGGCTCCAGTTACAATCGGGACAACACACAATTTCTTTTTCCACAGTCACTCAACTTCAATTTGCAAGTTCTTTGTATTTTTTTTCTTGCTGTTTATCTTCAACTGGTGCATCTCTGGGTATTGCAATGTCAATGAACCATACTTTTTAAAATTATTGTTATTCAGGTGTGTTGTGGGCCAAGTACCTGTCAGTCTGAATTCTGAAGTCCCACAAGATCTTGACTTTCTCATTCGCTAAAACCTTCTCAACCTGATGGTCCCAGTGGTTTTTGCTGTAATCAAATAACTTCAGTTTGCA